TGGGTCATTAGTTACATTGCTGTTTTTCATTTATATAATTTAACTAATTCAATGCCCTGCTTTCCCCTTCTCTTAGCCCTCTCCATAAAGGCTAGTGTGGCCTGAGGGAAAGACAATGGACTAAAGGGACTGCAGTTCTTTTATTTTCACTTCAAGCTCTGAACTATTCTAGCCACAAGTCCTATGGGATAGGTGTCTGGTTGAAAATGTGTCTCTCTGAATTGTCCTTTTTTCAATTTTATAGATGTATTCCATCACACACATAGGAATTTCATAAAGATGTTTTTCTTTGCCACAGAGGTCAAGGTTTTGTAGGCCTTTGGAGAACAGATAACACACCTAAACTTCAGCTCAACTTAGAACCATGTTATCCCACTGGAGCACTAAGTTCTTGGTACTAGGAAGGCTTTGGAAACACCTCAAACCACATGTACTTTAAAGAAAGCAGATGGGTCACGAAATTAAATCAGTCTAGTCTAACCAAACAGCCTCAACCCCCACTTTTAATCTAACCTAATTAGTAGCCTCTTCCTACTGGGTTCATATTAAATTCACCTGTTTTATTTGCAAACACATAACTGACAGAAACAAGCAAAAAAAAGTTATCTCTTTAAAGAGCTCATCAGTGAGGTAAGACTTTGGACCTTGAAGCTTTCAGAAGACTAATGAGATAATGTCTAAAATGTGTTTGTGCTCTATGTATGAAAGGCTCTGTGGAGATAAAAAATCTGATAAATGATGTAAGAAATCCTGTGTCAAATAATCTCCTGTCTCTTGGAGGACATACAAGTTTTAAATAAATATTTTACAAATATAGACCTGCTAATCTTATCTGTCAACTTCAGTCCAGGTCAGTTGAAAAGTACTATTACTGTCATCACAACAAAGAAGAATCTTTCTAATGAATTTTCCAAGAATGTTCCAACAGGGAACTATGACTGTTAGGTAACATCTTCATATTAAGCCAAGCTTCCAGCTTCAATTTCGGCTCATTATCAATCTTATTATGAACATGAAAGCACTAGTCATGAACCCCTCCAACTCTGTGAAACCAAATGCATCCATGGGACTTTCTTGCTATCCTAAATTGAGAAAAATCACAAAGCACACCCTCTAGGAGTTTTTGAACTACCAAAGTACATTAAACAAATGATATTGTCAACAGTGAACACATAATGGACTTCAAAAACATAAGAGCTCAATTCAATTACCTACAAGCTTTAATCCTCTCCTTCATGCAATCCTTCATGTAAAAGCACACAAATCTTTATCTCTTCCCATGATAGCTTTTATCCCTAACAAGTATAAATGAGATAACTAATTTTTATGAACTCTACAAAATAACAAACAGGACCAAAAATATAGCAAATAATTTTCCGATGAGAAAACAAAAATTTGGTATATACTCTTCTAAAACATGCCTATAGGCAAATAAATCTCTCATTTGTTTGATTGAAATCAGTATCATTACATTTTTCAAAACCTCACTTAAAGACACTTTATTTTTTTTTAATCTTTTTTTATATTTTGAGAGACAAAGTTCCCATCTGCTGGTTCATTCGCCAAACGCCTGCAATGGCCAGGGCTATGCTGGGCTAGGAGAAATGGAAGCCAGCACCCAGGAACTCAATCCGCCTCCCATATGGGTGGCAGGAACCCAATTATTTCAGCCAATGCCATTGCTTCTCAGGAATTGCATCAGCAGGAAGCTGGAACCAAGAGTTGGAGTTGGGAAACAAACCCAGGTATTCCAAAGTGGGACATGAATATCCAAACAACTATCCTTTTAAAATTTATTTTTATTTATTTATGTGTTTGTTTAATTTGAGAGGCAGAGAGAAAGAGAGAAAGCTCCTATTCACTATTCACTCAATGACCTTAAAAACCAGGACTAGGTTGAGACTGAAGCCAGGATCTCTATCCGGGTCTTCCACCTGGGTGGTATAATCCCAAATATTTAAGCCATAATCTACTGCTTCCCAGGGTCTGCGTTAGCAGAAAGTTGGAATCAGGAGGAGGGCTAGAACTTGAACCCATACTTTGATATGTGGGCTTTCCAAGAGCATCCTACCACTAGGATAAATGCCTTTTCGCATTACTTATTCGAACTCACCTAATCTTAAACATTTTTTAGAGTAATCAAGTAATAAAATTTCTGTTAGAAAAATCAAAAAATTTCAGAGGTGGAACGATCTTTGATATATTATCTTACTTAGCCTTTGCCTACAGACAGGTAAGTTTAGTTAACAAATATTAAAACTGATACCCTGTGGACATTTTATAGTCCAATAATATGTTCCCCAGAGTACATCAACAATTACTTGGGGAAGAAGTTATGATTTTAAAAATGAATATTTCCAGACTCTACCATAGACTGACTGATTCAGAAATTCTAGAGACAGGGTCCAGGAATCTGCATTTTAAAATTCTATGCACAATAATGTTTAAGACCCACAGCTCTTTTTTTTTTTTTTTTTTTTTTTTTTTTGAAAGGCACAGTTAGATAGTGAGAGAGAGAGAGACAGAGAGAAAGGTCTTCCTTCCATTGGTTCACCCCCCAAATGGCCGCTACGGCTGGTGCTGCGCCGATCCAAAGCCAGGAGCTTCTTCCTGGTCTCCCATGCAGGTGCAGGGCCCAAGCACTTGGGGCATTCTCCACTGCCTTCCCAGGCCACAGCAGAGAGCTGGACTGGAAGAGGAGCAACCAGGGACAGAACCCAGAGCCCCAACCGGGAATAGAACTCAGGTACCGGCGCTGCAGGTGGAGGATTAGCAAAGTGAGCCGCGGCACTGGCCAAGACCCTCAGCTCTTATAGGTCTAAAAGATGTATCACTCAGGGAAATGCTGAGGAGAGAGCTTGTTTGTAGGCACACACACATACACAACTTGATCAGCATCTTCTTCCCTCATTAACCCAGATACTTGTATTTATCAGAAAAGAAAAAAAGAAGTAATCTCTTGGCTTAACCCACATCAGACAATCTTCCAATTACATTTCCCACTAAGTTGTGTTGTGAACTATCATTTGATAACAGAAACACTTAGAACCCCAGCATTTGGAGTATCTACCATTCTCCTGAAAATGTCTGATTCAGTTGTCATTTAGTTTAATGTAGCTCAATGAACCACATTATTTTAGCTTATTTTCTTCCCATGACAGCAATGTTATTAGAAATGGCATTTTTCATAATTCTTTTCCTTTGACAGAAACACACACAAAAAAACTAGTAAACACAAGAAAGAGCTGAATTCAGAAATATGTAACTGGACTTTGAGAAAATAAGCTCCTAGCAGAATCAGTTGGCACAAACCCGTGTATACAGAAATCACCTGCAGAGTAGCTATCAATGCAAACTTCAAAAGAGACTGACTTGGTAGAAGATGGATAACTTGGGCTGGCATTGTGGCCCAGTGGGCTAAGCTGCCACCTGGGGTGCCTCATCCTTATCAGAATGCCTCCACTCTGATCCAGCTTCCTACTAATGCATCTGGGAGGCAGCAGGTTATGGCCCAAGTACTTGGGTTCCTACCATCCTTAGGGGAGACTTGTATGGAGTTCCTGGATCCTGACTACAAGATGGTCCAGCCCTGTCCATTGTGGGCATTTGGAAAGTGAACCCACAGATGGAAGATCCCCCTCCACTCATTCTTTCTCATAATTCTACCCAACAAACATCCCACTGACCCAATATGAATGGTTTTAAGAAAAATGTTCCAGGAGTTTCAAGATTTCAAGATTCTAAACTCTTGCATCTGAACCTCCCTTCAAGCCTAACATCAATATATTAATAACAGATTGATAATATATGCATATTTAAATAAAGTAATCACATAAGGGAATGTATAGGGAAATTCATTTCACTTCATCAGAACCCACATTCTATATGTCAGAGCTGGGAGCTTTTGTTTATATCCAGAACTGGGAGACACATGTAGTAAAAAAGCCTTGCTGCTGTTCCTTTTAGAGAGTATACACAACGTTCTAATTACCTACTTTTGAAATTAAAAATATACTGAACAGTATGTATGTAGCAAGGGGGATGGTTGTCTAAGTGTGGGGTGAGAGTTATTCTCTGTCCAACAGTAATAATCAGAAAAATATAATTTCAAGGATTATACAAAACCAAACCAAATGGAATCTGTCCTTGGTCTAAGTATTCTCCACCCCTGAGGTTAGGATTGTCATTTCCTCATTCTCACAGGAATTAATTGTGGACAAATTAAATACTTGTGGAGTTATCTAATTATTAATAATTCACACAGAACTGAGATATTCTCACCCTTACTTCCTTTAGGGAAACCAGAATACTAGTGGGAGCTGGGACCGTATGCTTTCTTGTGAGTCTGGGAAGCTAGTTCTCATAGAGTCCACAAATCTGTCAAAGGAGCACTTACTGACTACTGCAGGACTCTGTGACCTTAAGTAAGTGCAAGACTGAAGTTATTTAGCCCTTCACAGACTCAGCTTCCTCAGCTGTGAAAAGGGTACCCTGACTGATCTGTATTCATGGTCTAGGCTCCTTCCACTCAGCCATGACTGTCTCCAACACTACTGCAGGGAACTCGGGTTTATGTAGCAGGATCACATGAGATAATTTTTGTAAAAGTGCTCTGTAAGCTGAAAAGCACTATACAGATGAAGAGGATTATTATTAGTCTTTTATGAAACCCAGCTATAAAGATGCAAAATGACCCAGAAAAAGAAAACAGGGTAGACAAACCTGAAATATAGTATCTATAACGCCAGCTAGGCATTTAATAAATCAGAGTAAGTAAAGAAAAACATACATCACAATTTTGTGTTTCAACCACGCTAGCTCTGATGGGAAGGATTAAATATACCTAAAGTCAAAGTTAGTTTCATTTTATCATACAAACCAGAATGCCCCCAAGAGCCCAAGATCTTACATTAAGAATTACTTAATATGAAAGTACCTGATGGCTTGATTTAAAATGTAAAACGTGACCCATCATCTGCAATGAAATGTTTTATTCTTACCTCCTCAGCCTTCCAAACGCGCTCTTAATCGGAGAGCAGAACCTGGGTGAGGTTGCTCAGTTTTTTCCCCTGCATCTGGTGGATCTGCATAATTGTTCTAGCAACCTGTACAGGAAATAACAAAATCTATAGAATGTTGGGGACTTCAGTGCTCTGTGCTTAGGTCTGGAAGGCTGATTTTTACAGACACCTTGAATTTAAGGCAAACCAGATTTATCTTCTAACATCACCACCTCCCCCAAACACTCTCTCTCTCTCTCTCTCTCACACACACACACACACACACAGAAGGGGATTGGTGGGAAAGTAGGGAAGTGGTTATTAACTTTATAAAACAATTCTCTATGACATTCCTTTGTTAGTTTCCTAGAATACATAAAAATGTGATGCAAATTTAAATATTCAAATTACAGTACATACACATTTTGACACAGCCATTTGTAGAATGAGGCAAACCCATACAGGGAAATACCAAATTTTAAGAACTCAGGGGAAAAATATTTTCTTCTGGGTGGCCCTAAACTGCCTTATTTTTCCCCCATTGCAAATGTATTTTTATGCTGGATAACATTTCCAAAACAGGAGTGGTTGTTTTTTTCTATTGTTGAAATGAAACAAACAAGCCAGATCCACAGAAATGCGCAACTATTAGAAACAAGAACGTTTGCCGGTCTTATTCCCATGCAACCTTGTCTCTTGGCCCCTTTCTCTGGGAGGCCCCTGGGGCTGTCTGGTGGAACTGATTGTAAAACTATTTTGTGCAGTAAGAATTAGTTTCCGCCAAAACTCAGAGACCACCCAGAACATGCCCGTTCTTTGGCAAAAGTCTACTGATTTCTTCAGTATTTGGTCAGCTGTACACCAAGTAACTGACCCGAGTTTCTGGGTCTTTGAGATACGGAGAAAAAAATGTTCTAAAAGGTTAAAAAAAGAAAGAAAGAAAGAAAGAAACACTCTCTTCTAAAAAAAAATCTATTCAGAATTCATTCTATGTGTTTTGGATGGGGCAGGCCACAAGAATTCAGAGCCAAGTCCTCAAGCAAGCTAAACCGCCCAACATTTGCGGAGTGTTGGAACTGTTTGGGAAGCAAGCGAGCAGCCCCGGATCGCGCCAAAGCCTCCCCGGGATGGGAGTCATCCTCCAGCACCCCGAGCCGGGCCCGAACCCCGGAGCAGAGGCCACGGCCCTCTCGGCAGAAGCTCACAGAGAACGGGCCCGGATTCCGCCTCAGCCTGATGGGCTCCTCTCGTCATAGCCTCCTCTCTCACATACTAGGTGCTCAATAAATGAGGCTGCAGGGAGCGAAAAACACAAATCTGCCCCGGGGCCCCAGAGGCCAATCAGGGGTGCGCAGGTCTCTTCGGGCCCTCTATCTCCTCACGTCTGCTGAGGTAACCGGGCCTCCGCCGCTCCGGCCCTAGCTGCTGGAGACAAGATGGAGAGCAAGCCGGAGTGGGAAAGAGGCCGCGCTGGACGTCGGCCGAAGTCCCCACCTGACAGCCTCGCCCAGCCAGGCGCTCTCATTGACCAGAAGGCCCGCGCAGCCGGCGCGCGGGGCAGGGGCGGGGTGGGGCGCCCAGCGCGCTCCCGGCCCCAGGCCCCGCCCTCGCTAGGCCCGCACGCGCCCACCCTGAGGGAGCCGCGGGCCCGGCGGACGCGGGGGGGAGGGGAGGCCGAGCCGCGCGCGCGCCTGCGCGCCGCTGCCAGCTGACGCGAGCCCCGGCGCGCGCGCGCGCCTTCCCCCGCCCCCCCCCCTCTCACCACCCCCCTCTCCGCGCCCCACCTGCCTCTCCGCTACGAGACTCTAGCCCCGCCCACCTTACCCTACTCAAACACCGCCCTCCCTTCCCCCCCCGCCCCCCCCCCCCCCCCCCGGCCCTCCCCGCTGGGGCTCCCGCGCTTGCTCTCTCTTCATTTCCCCCCCTCCCTCCCTGCCTCTCTCTCTCTCTCTCAACCTCTCCCTCGAGCTCCCGGCTGGCTGCGGCTCCCTCGCGCTCTCCCCCTCTCTCCGGTAGGCTCCACCGAGCGATGCGAGCGCTGGGAGACAGCGACGCCGCCTCCCGCTAGAGACCTGCCCCCCGGCCCGGCCCCCTGCCCAGCCCTGCCCAGCGCGCGGGGGTCGGCGAAGGCGCCGCGGACGCACCGACGGCTCGGGACCGGCGATGCACATGCACTAGCAGCACCCCCTAACTCACTCCCTCCACACCCCGCGCCGCCACCGCCGCCTCCACCGCCGCCGCCGCCGCCGCCGCCTCCTCCGCCGGCAGCCGCGGCAGAAGGACCCACCCTGCCCCCCACCCCACCCTCCGCGGGCTCCGGCTGCGGATCCAGCGTTGACTATTTTATTTTTGGGGGGTCGTGCACAAGCCTCCGTGCCTGCACCCAGCGCCCCCTCGGCCCGCGGGCGCCGCCTCGCTCGGTTCCGAAACCCCAGACCCCGGCCAGGTGCCGCGAGCCTCTGCTGCTGCTGGGATCTGTTTGGGGGGTGCTGGTTTCCCGACATTTTTGTTTCCAGCCCAGGAGAGGATATCGTGCTTTTTTTTTTTTTTCCTTCCCCCTTTGAGTCCAGGCTCTGCTCTCTGGGGGGGTGGGGGGCGCGCCGAGCAGGGGAGCCGTGCCAGCCGAGTCGTGCGGGCTGTGGCAGGGAAGGGGCCACCATGGGATGTACTCTGAGCGCAGAGGAGAGAGCCGCCCTCGAGCGGAGCAAGGCGATTGAGAAAAACCTCAAAGAGGATGGCATCAGCGCCGCCAAAGACGTGAAATTACTCCTGCTGGGTAAGGACCGAGACTGCCACCCCCGTCCCCCGACCCCGGCTGCTCGGGACCCCCTGCCGCCAGCCCCCCTCCCCCGCCCCCCGGGAGCCCTGGTCCCCGAGTGGGCCCCACCTTATGCACGGGGGCGCCCACCCCTCGCATGCCTTCGTCGCCCCCTCCCCTGCTCTTCTAAGCGGACACTCACCGGTGTTCCCCCCCTGTCTGTGTTTCAACAGGGGCTGGAGAATCGGGAAAAAGCACCATTGTGAAGCAGATGAAGTAAGTCCCTGTGCTGTGGAGATCTGTACTTTTATTAAGAATAATTTTTAAAACCGTTTTTAAATGCACTCCACATTGCACTCCAGGCCTGGTTTTTAATTCGCACACACACACACACACACACACAGACCAGCGTTTGACACCCTCCCCCTCTCCTTACGTTGGTTCTGGGTCCTCCACCCCAACTCCCCGGGTGGGTGTTTTGGGGGGGAGCGCCTGTAGTTGTATGAATGACAGTGTCCGCCATATTGATCAGAACATCACACTGTTGGCATGATTATCGTTACTTTTGCCCGGGGAGTGCTTCGGGTGTCTCACTGCCTCCATTTCTGCTCCTCTCTCCCCCTCCCTCTGGGCCCCTACCCCGAGCATCCACAGTCTTACTTCTCCCTGGTCTTCTGGAGCAGTGATTTTGAACTTGGAAGGGGACCCAGCCCTAGACTGGGGTGTGCAGGATCAAGTGTCTGCTGTTCATGGATTTGGTGCTGAATTGGAGGCTGTGGTTTCCACCCACCCCCACCCAAAGGAGGGCGAGGGTTAGGGGAGGGGGCGTGTGTTGGAGAAGGGTGGGTTTCCAAGCGGATGGATGTGGCTGGCACAGATGTATCCTGGCAGAGGTAGAAGAGGAACTGTGGCTGTGAGGCCGAATGCCCGCGCCTTGCTGCCCGGCTCTCCCTTCCCCCCACCCTGCTTGCCACTGTTGGCTGTCCTGACAGGCAGTTTCCCTTCACTCCGTGGCATTTATCAATGTATCTGTTCACACTCTGCATAGGCCCTGTTCTGTGGAATCTACCCACAATGCGGATTTTGCCGCCGCCCCCCTCTGCCTCAGCTATCAGTTTCCCCTCCTAATTAGCTGGAGGTGGATTTGAGTGATGGTTGAAAATTAAAACAAAATGGGATATTCCTTCCCTTCCACTCTTCCTCAATACGGAGCCTCGCCCCTCCTTCCCCCTGGCACGCTCGCTCCTCGCCCCATCCACTCAGCAGTTCCTCGCGAGCCCACGGGCAGCTTCGCTTGGGGAGGGGGCGGCGGGCCGCGGAGGGGTGCACGCCCGGGCCTCCTGGCCCGGCTGCTTCGGTTGGCCTGGCAGTTGCGGGGAGGGGAGGGGGAGGGCGGGAGGAGTTCGTTAAGACCGTTTAGCGAGGATTCCACGTCGCTTTGCTGTGACACCTTCGTGCACACACGGCTCCTAATTAGGGGTTGCTGTGCAGTAAACAAAAATGATTATTTTTCAACTTGACAGAATAGCCGAAGTAATTGCATCCCGTAGGAAAACAATGGAAAATAAAAACCCCTTTCATGGGAAGGTGGGTGGGAGACGAAGCATGCTCGCGGTTTCAGAACCAAGAGGCAAAAAATCTTGCATGTGTAACAGGCATGACAAGCGGGTTCCAGGCGGCGCCATGATGGTAGGGAGTAGCGACTCAGAGGCACTTTCCCCCATCTGCTTGACACGTTCTTATTTTTATTCGAGGGCTCCCTGGGGCTTGCTTCCTAGAGGCCCCCTCGGCTCGCCGCCGCACCCTTCTGAGCCACGAGTAATTTGGCCTGGGGCTTGTGCGGCCCAAATGGATGGGGAGGCGGAGCTTGGGGAATTGCTCTTTGCAACAAGGTGCATGTTGCATCTGCCTGGATCCCTTGCGGGTCGGTAAATGCAAGCCGCGCCACCCCTTCTTCCCGAGCGGGGATGTCTCAAAAGTTCAGAAGTCTGTAATCTGCAGTAGTGCGGGCTCGGAGCCTGGTAGAAGCCCCGGCCACCGGAGCAGGGTGAGGTTTCAGGCGTTGCGAGTGGTGGACAGCGCCCAGCCGATACCGGAAAAGTGGATGGGGCTCAACTCGGCCGCACTCGGCTCAGCTCGTCGCGGCCTGGGCACAGGGCTCGGAGGGACTCGGCAGCGTTCGGAGCCGAGTCGGGGCTCTGACGGAGACGGCCGAGGCACTTCGGAGGAGGCCGAAGGCACTCGGAAATCCTCGCGGGAGAGGAGCGGTGGGGAAGCAAGGAGGGGGACAAGTGGGAGTCTGCAAATTAACTTTGCACCTGCCAAAGCAGTTCGTTACCTGCTTTTCCTGAACATGCACCATAAATTAGGTTGATTTAATAAGAAGTTTAAAAATATATACTGAGTCCCCTAAAGGGTACCTTGCCTTTTTTATTCAAAGAGAGCTGAGCTCTCTGAGGAGATAGGTGTGCCACTTTAGAACGAAAATTCCTAATTATGTACTGGGGCAGAAAAATTTTAAATGAAGGCTGTATGTAGAGTTCTCCAGGAAAGTGCTGTGTCTTTATATTCGGGTTACAGTGTGTGTGTGTTGGGGTGGGGAGGGGGAGAGGATGAAGTGTTTGATGTTTGAGACAGTTAAATGAGAAATCAGAGTATTTCTCCTCTTTTTCCTGCAGTTCTGTCCTGAGTCCCATGGGACAGCTTTTGGGAGGAAAATGTCTGGAAAAATGTATTTTGTAGCTGAAACAATTAGTATTTTTGAAAAGGCATAATACACTACCTCACCTTGGGGAGTAGGCAAGTTTGCGCCGAAGCTCAGTCAGAAAGGTTTCTGGCCCATGTAAGTTTTGCCACAAGGGATCCTGGCATCCTGTCCTGGAGCAGTCATGAATGGCAGCTTTTTCGTGAGCCCTCCTGCTTGGCTTGAAATCAATCATATCAGGGCCTGGTGCCAAGCTGGATACAGGACTTGTTTTATTAACCACAAAATGTGGAATTGGTGTCACTGTATCCTAGTGACACATTCTTTTGAGTTCTCGCTTGCAGAAATGGTTTTTCAAGATCACCACTTGACTGAGAGTCACCTGGAGTCAGGAGAACTGTGCTGTGGGTGGGGCCCAGCCCGAAATCTAAGAGGCATTTACAGAGAGCCTTCCTTGTACCATATGATTGGTGACCGACCTATCAGGCCACGTGTCTGAGTTAATTAGGATGCCGTGTGAATATACCTGGGCAGATGAAATTAGAAGAGTAGAGTCCTCCATGGATGGTGCCCTATGAGAACCCAGTGGTTTACCAGTGGGGATTGGGGTTTAGTAGCTCAGCCTGTTGGACTGAGGGAAGAATACTGATACTCAGAGATTACCAGGCCCCTTTTATTCAACGTTTCCAGAAGAGAAAGAGCTGTTCCATTCAGCCTGTGTTCTCATCCATGTTGTGGTGTGCTGGCTAGAAGGATAGGCTTCCATATATGCCTGTGATAACTGAACTTAAAAGGAGAAGGGCTGGCTGGCAGATGCTGCTCAGAACAACACCCTCATCAGCCTGGGAACATTGCAGAGACTGACCTTTGAAGTTCTTCTGTTCCATGCGTGTTGTACGAGGAAACTTGTTTCTGCTGAAGAGATGTAGAAAATTTGAAAATTGTCATTTTTCAAAGCGTGATTCCCAATACTTGTATTAAATTGTCATTTGGACATAGCTTTCTGGGATTTGTGAATGTGACTTTGAACTAGTATTTGTGAACACTGTGTCAAACAATCCACAGCATTTCAGTACTGAGAAATAAACAGTGATAATTGAGACAGTACAAATATAATTTTCCACATACTGTGAGTAATCAGTAACTCTTTTTTTGTGCCTGACATTTTGAATAATTGTACTTG